CAGCTCAGCCAATGAAAGAAAGACTCTCGAAACTCAGCTAATGAAAAGCTACTATACTTTGAACTCCCAGTTTCCTCCAATGAAATTTGTGTTTTTATAGCTCCCAAATTTCCCTTCTCTGTAAAATAATTTCTTCTCTTTTGTTTTACTGGACTTGCATGGGGTTCACCACAGTTGCATGTCCCCAAGTTGCAATTTTTTGCTGCTCCCGAATAAACCCATTTTGCTGGTAAAATAACTGGCTGTTTTATTGTTTTAAGTTAACAAACTCTTCACCGTTGAGATCATGGAGATGAAATGTTAAGCTGAGAATGAGACAAGCTTAATCAGAGGTCTTGTTTTAGACCATGGGCGTGGCACCCTGATATGAAAAAAACAGAGGAGAAGATGTATACATCTTCATGTGCAGTGTGTCATTAGAATATGAAAGACAGAGTGAATTCTAGACTTCTTTTTTACTAATTGTACTGAAGTGTACACACATAGAGCAGGCCATTTTAACCCAATGAGCAGGGTATTTTGCTTTAGTTTCAGTGATATAATAAAAATACATGCTAGATAAGCACATGTTATCTATCTTGTAATTAAAAAGGATAAGATGGTAAATTTTATGTTATGTACTTTTTTACCATAATTTTTTAAAAAAGGAAATATGTGAAAATATCAGATTACATCACTGATGTCTTAAAAATATTGTTTAGGGCTTCCCTGGTGGCGCAGCGGTTGAAAGTCCGCCTGCCGATGCAGGGGACATGGGTTCATGCCCCGGTCCGGGAGGATCCTATGTGCCGCGGAGCGGCTGGGCCCATGAGCCATGGCCGCTGAGCCTGCGCGTCTGGAGCCTGTGCTCCGCAGCGGGAGAGGCCACAGCAGTGAGAGGCCCGCATACCACACACACACACACACACACACACACACACACACAAATATATATATAGTTTAAATATTTTAAAAGAACATTTAAAATGCACACTAAACTTTTGGCAATTCTTTAAAACAACATAACAGAAAAACAAACTAATAAACAAAACTTAGGCCTGGGCTTAGGAGAAAGTTCTCTATTGAATATAGATAATAACGGCAGTGGGCTTGGGTACAGACTGAAAGATCTATGTGTGACAGAAAAAGCATACCTCTTTATTCAATAAATAAATAAGTATGTAATATGAGATACTGAGATAAATATAAGGATCACAGTCAAGAGAACTGAAATCTTATTATCATTTGCCAGGTATTTCAATTATTTAACAACTATTATTAATAGCACACTATGGACTAGGTGCTGGGGATGAAATTGTGGAACAAGAAGAAGCTTACTGCCTTGTGAGTGTAAGTCAACATGAAACTGAACCCCAGAGGATGACACGTGACCCTCTCTGGGCAGACCAAGGAAATCTTCCCTGAAGGAATGATGTCTAAACCAAAACCGAAGGAGCAGGATAAAGTAAGCTGAAAGAAGGCTAGGGGTTGGGGTGGGAGGAGCAGAAGCAAGGAGAGCGTGGTGTTTCGGGAAACTTAAAGTACTCCGGTGAGACCACGGTTTACACTGCGTGTTTATGGGTGGTGGTGCAGTGACCACAGTGCTAGAGGGCTGGTTAGTGCCAAGAAATGAACTTTAGGATGTAGCCAAAGCCTTTGTATTAAAAGTTTGGACTTTATCCAGGAAACAATGAGGGAACCAGTGAAAGGTTTTAAGTGGGAGAAGGAGGCAAAAAAGGTTTGCTCTTTAGAAGATAAATCTATACTGTGCTCACTAAATTGGAGGGGGCAGGACTGAAGGGGAATGGAAGGAAGGCACAGATTTAAAAGCTACTTAAGAAACTGAATCGACAGGATTTAGTTTATTAGATCTATGGGATAGGGAGAAAGGGAGAAGGTCACAGTTGACAAGTTTGGGGCCAGAGCAGAGGTCAGCAGAGATGAGTAGGGAGTAGAAGAGGTTAGTGACATCACTGAGATGGGTGACACAAGGGGGGAAGAGGTTCTGGGGAGAGAAGAGGAGCCCTGTTTTGAACTTACTTAATTTGAGGCCCTTGTAGAAAATACGTTAGTTAAATATGTAAATCTGGAGTCTGAAGACTGATTTGATCTAAATATATAAAAGCTCCATTATAGCATGATCTTGTTACTGAACCAAACTGGAACCCTTTTCCTCATACACTGGGGCCCTTTTATCGTTAATGTTTAGTTATTAATATTTTAGGTGGGAGAGCTATGAAAACTTACTGTACCCAGGAATGGGTTACCAGTGAAGGCCAGTAGTGTCCCAGTGGGAAGTCTACACTCAATAATATTGCATGTAGAGAGGTCCCTCCACCAATGGAGTGGGTCACAAGATCTTTTTGGAAAACGCAACCTATGGGGTAAGTTTAGCATTGCTTATACTGAGTCTTTTACAGTCTTTTCTGAATGTGGTTCCTCTAACTTCTTTTCTAACTTCTCTAAAACAATATCTGTCAGGGTGGCTGCAGGAGAGAGATATTCTTTCCTTTTCTCTAGTGTGCCCTCGCCCCTTCCCCTTCTCTCTCTCCCTTAAAATTAAAAGCAAGAAAGTTCCACAAACAGCCAAATCTAGATTCTGGTTTGCTTTAGACAAGAATATCACTTTACAAAGTCTTAATATAATCCTCTGGAACCAAAGTTATGCTGAAACACACAAGAAAAAAACATAATGAGACAACCAAAGAAAACAACAGAAAGGCCTCCACAGGTCCATGAGGAAAGAAAAAAACTAACTTTTTTGTGCACCTGCTATGTGCTTAGCTCTCTGATATTTTGTTTTTTTACTTTGTATTGTATTTTGTATTATATTTTATATTTGTTATTTTATTTTGTATTACATTTTGTTATTTTACTTGATCTCATAGTGTTCCAAGGGGTATTATAATTTCCATTTTTTAATATGGGGAAATAAATTCAGAAAGCATAAGTAACAATAAGTTTGAAATATAACTGCTTTCTATTTTAGCTCCTCACAAAAATTTTTCTGTGTTTTTAGGAGCAAATTTGTAATACCACAACTATCAGGATCACTTTCCCTTCTGCACAAATCAACACAGAAATGTTTACTTTTCCATTTTTAAAATATGAGTTTTCCCATTGAAACTAGTGGTTCTCATTTAGGGGCACTTTTGTCCCACAGGGACATCTGTCAATGTCTGGAAACACTTTTGGTCATCACAATTTAGGCAGGGGCTGCTGGCATCCAGCTGGTAGAGGCCAGGAAGGTTACACCCTCTAATCACAGGAGCCCCACAGCAAAGAATTATCTAGTCCCAAATGCCAATAATGCCAAGGTTGAGAAACCCTGATTTAAACTGCAAACAAAGTTTTTAGATGTAAGTTATTCAATGTTACACTCTTCAGTGTGTGCTTGTGTGTAATTTTATTTAGAATTAATAGGATTTCTTGAGTAGTAACATTTCTTTGTTCTCTGCTTTGGTAATTAAAACAGGGTAAATCTCAGTTTAATTTAGGAGAGCTTGATTCCCAACTATTACACTGTTCAAATTCACCAAAGAGGACAAGGTAATCTATCAGGGGAAGGAGACTAGCTGGTTGCAACCAAGCATTTTTAAAGATAATTGAAGTCGGCTGCTCTTTTAGTGGTTTCCTATGTCAAGAGTTTAAGTTATGTTAACATCCAAAGCAAATCTGAATGAATGATCAATTACCCAATTTTCCTGCTATATCACCTTCTGTCATCTATCAGAATGACACTTGGTGGGCTTCCCTGGTGGCGCAGTGGTTGAGAATCTGCCTGCCAATGCAGGGAACATGGGTTCGAGCCCTGGTCTGGGAAGATCCCACATGCTGTGGAGCAACTAGGCCCGTGAGCCACAACTACTGAGCCTGCGCGTCTGGAGCCTGTGCTCCGCAACAAGAGGGGCCGCGACAGTGAGAGGCCTGCGCACCGCGATGAAGAGTGGCCCCTGCTCGCCGCAACTAGAGAAAGCCCATGCACAGAAACGAAGACCCAACACAGCCAAAAATAAATAAATAAATAAATAAAATTAAAAAAAAAAAAAGTATGACACTTGGTGAGATTGTGTTCTAGGCACTTCCTAAGTTACGCCAAAATGTCAAAAACATTTTATTAGCATTTGTGACATAATGAAAACACTATCGACACATAGCTTGTAAGCAAGAAGATCATTGTAGTGGGCTGAATGGTAGCGCCCCAAAAGATACGCCTACGTCCTAATCTCTGGAATCTGGAACGTGGACTTATCTGATAAAAGGGCCATTGTAGATGTAATTAAGGTAAGGATCTCGAAGGGAGAAGACCATATGAAGACGAGGCAAAGACTAGAGTGATGTGCCACAAGCCAAGGAGTACCTGGAGCCCCCAGAAGCAGGAAGAAACAAGGAAGGATTCTCCCTCTAGAACCATCACAGAGAGCACAGCCCCATGGACACTTATTTTGGACTTCTAGGCTTCCAGAACTTTGAGAGAATAAATTTCTGTTGTTCTAAGCCACCCAGTGTATGGCACTTTGTCATAGTATTCTTTGGAAAGAAATATAACGATTTTTCTGCAAACAAGAGTTCAAGAGCATAAACAGTAGTAAAGAAAAAAGAAAGAATGAAAGGAAGAAAGAAATTTTACAACTTGTTGAGTAGAGCTTCTATTCTCCAAATATTAAAACAAAGGGCAAACAAGAACACCATATCCCATTGGAAATCGCTCAATCAGTAGGGAGAAAAATTCTATTAATTTGTCATTTATGTGGTTGTTATTTTTGTACTTTAGTATTAACGAAATATGCTAAATATATGAAGGGCTGCAAAAGACAGGATAGGTGATAGAGAAAGGAGCTGTTACGACTCTTCTTTGCCAGAATCAAAACAGCCAGATAATAATTGAAAGAGGTGGAGTAATTCAAGTATTTCTCTCAGAGGGAATCAAGGAAGGCTTCACAGAGGAGGTGACATCTAAGCTGGATCTTGAAGCATGAGTAGGAGTTTCCCAGGAAGACACTAATGTGGAGTCAGGACAGTCGGTATTTCACAGAAAACACAGCATGTGCAAGGGTACAGAGATGGAAATGTATGTCACATACCTGGGAATGATAAGTAGTTCCATGTGGTTGGTCCCTCAAGTGCACCGGTGATATCGGTAAGAAATAATTTAGGAAAAGTAGGTAGGGACTGGACTGAGATGGTTTTTTCATGCTTTACCTTGGCACTTGGCCTTATTCCTGTGGACAATGGAAAGCCATTAAGGAGGGGCAGTACCATAATTAGATATATCAGACTTATGGCAGATAAGGTAGCAGCCCTTCAACACTGGAACATTGGATGAGGTGCTGAAGATGCTGGGACCAGTATGGATCTCGGAAGGAGGTCTTAGGTGTGGCCTTTCCCCTGCATGGGGACTCCTGCCACCTATGTTTGAAGACCCTGAAGCACTGTTGGCTATGGTCAGAGGAGGAGTGATTAGTTGATGATGCACGTCGAGGTAAGCATGGTCTTTCTCTCCTAATGGGGGAAATGAGATGCCCACACATGGAAAATAGTTTTGAACTAGTACAAAGGTTAGATATGAAACACACACATACACACACATATAGTATGTACGTATGTAATATTTTTTAAACGTCAATTTGTTTACTTTTCTCCCATGCTTAAAATTTTTCAAAGGTCCCCTTACTCTGGCCACTGTTATCACACTTTATTTAAGAATCACCTGGAGAGGCAGTTAAAAATGTAGATTCCTAGGTCCTACACTCTGAAGTAGGGCGCAGAAATTCCTATTTCCAGCAAGTCACCGTGTGGATATGAAGCGAGGGGTATCTGCCCACTGAGTTACAGGGTGGAGCCCAGGCTCCCTAACATGACACTCAGGGCCCTTCATCTCTCTCTGGCTTCCCAGCAAGTCTCCAGTCCTGAAATGTATGCTCTCTACTCACCAAACTCACCACTTTGTTTTAAACCCACTTGGCCTTTAATCTGGTTCAAGTGTTCTCTCCAACACTCTTCAACATTATTCCACCCCTTACTGGCAAATGCCCTGTGAGGTGTCTCAGGCCAGGCTCTTCTCAAGATCTTCCTTCCCCCAATGCCACAGTTCCTGAACTTTTACACTCTAGCTCCTTGGATTTTATTCAGACCTGCATTCTCGCTAGTCTTATCTTAGATGCCATTATTTCTTTGTATGCCTCTCTCTTTCGTGACTCTTTGAAATCCTGACAGGGAGAACTCGTGTAATTTTCATCTTTTTCTGAGCATTGTTCAGCATCCTAGGAGGCATTACTAGGTGCTCAGTGAAAGATCTCGAAGAGCGAGGATTTGGGGGAGGGGGAGGGGTGGACCTGGAGTCAGAGGTGATAAAAGAAATCTCATTTCATTACTGTGGACAGGAGAACCAGAATGGAACTTTTCCTTTCTCTATAAATGGGAGCAATTACATAAAGGAGTCCTGTCTTATGACCTCAAGGAAGAATAACGACTTCTTATCGTTTCGGTGGAATCCCTTCAGGTACATCTCGTCAGCGGACCACCTCCCACCCAAAGGCTACTTGCTTATCTTTTCTTAGTGGTTGACATTAACGTCTGGTGCAACAGGGCTTCAGGTTCAGAATGTCCTTTCCCTACTCTAATTTCCGAATCGCCAACATTCATACCAAATGCTATGGTCTCCGATACCAATTTCTCAATCCCTGATTTCAATCACTTGTCCTTCTAAACTCTCAGCATGGTTCTTTTCCTTGTTTACTTGCTTCGATAAGGTATCTGCCTCCTAACCTAGATTGCAAAATCGAGGCCTAGGGTCCTATGCTCTTCCCTTTCCAGTTCTCCTCTCCAATAAGGATGGGAGAGGGTAAGAGGAGAGGTTACTTTCTTCTTAATTTTGCACATAAGTGCCTGATAAATATTTGTTGGGGGAAAAAAGAATGATGAGCCGTGTTTATTGTTGTATTTCCCTGCTTGCAGCCTCAGGAATGACTATTATTTTGTCACGTAGGACTTGTTCCTACTGAACCAAACTGTAGAGCACTATCAATGTTAATGGTTGCGTCATTACCGTCTTGACCAGAAGCGGTATGGAGATGTACCAAACCAAGGGATGTGTTACCAGCAAGAGCTAGTGATGAGCCAGTGGAAATCTGTGCTGGACCAAGTGTCAGATGGGGATGATTCCTGCCACAGATGGCATGGACGACAGGATCTTTGTGAGGAACGACACCATCCACGGTATCAGAACAGTCCACCAGATTAGAACAGGAACACGTATGCGTCTTTATGAGTATGCATTCTATAGAAATCCGGCTTCCTAAGTCCTAAAGGCCAGGCACACCCTGCTGGGAATTTTGTTTATTAATGCTCTTTAAGCAAAGGTGGGATTTATAGATCTAGATATACAGCCATAAACAACATCTAACACAAACACATTATACTGAAGAAAGGACAGCTTGGGAATTTGAACACTTGACGTCTGGGTTTGGGTCATTCCTTCCGGGTCTCTAAGATCAGGATGTGTGAGAAGATTTCTGAATTAATTTCAAGACCTGACACTGTGTGATTCTAAGTCATCCCTATTTTACTGGGAGATCCATTATGTATGGGCTTCCTTTCTGGCCATGGGAGCAGTACGTATGGTACAGGGGTTCAAGCTTGCCCCTGGATGGCAGGTACCATGGATTTGTGTTCCAGGCTCAGCCACTCACTAACTGTGTGGCCTGAAACAAGTAGTTTAACTTTGTTCATTCATTGTGTTCATACACTGGGAATAACAGTATCCACTTCACAGAACTGCTGTGCAGATAAATATGTTTTGTTTATATAAATTAAATATACATATATCTAGCCCGTGGAACAGGGATTGGCACTGTAAAGTGTTCAATAGATGTTAGCTGTTATTCTAGCAGACTTGATTCCTTAATTCTGTTTTGCTTAAGCTACACTTAAGCAGTGACATTCCTCAAGTCCATGCCAGTTGCTCTATGAAAAATGAGGGAATAACACAGAACATGGTCTTAAATTGATTTGTCGCTGTTTTGAAATTATGATCTTTATTTATCACTATAAAGACATACTGAAGCACCAATTCCAGAATAGGAAAATTAGCTATGTGTCCCTTCATCTTTTTGACTTGCCTATGTCCCTTTCAGAATCCATCTAGGTCTGTGGCTCTTCACCCAACACACAGCCCTGTCTCTATTTTCTGCCTTGCTTTCCTTCTTACCACTTGTACTGTGTGGTGTATGAAGTGTATATATATTTTACTTCTTTAACTTGTCAGCTGCTTCCTCCACAAGGTTATGCTTCATTACGGCCAGAAACTTTGTTTTGGACTTTGCTTGGTCCCTCACACCTAGAACACTGCTTGGTATCTTACAGGCACTCAATGAATATTTGCTGACTAAATTAAGTCTGGTATATATATTTATGTTCTGAAAATTTCTCTCTGGTGGCTCTTAATTTTACTCATACTATATTGGGAGAAGACCAGGCAACAGTGCGTGAAATTAACCAAGCCCGTTTCCATGTCACCTCAGGGCCTTTGCACTTAATGCTCCTGCAGCCGAGAACACTCTTTCTCCAGATAGCATATAGCTGTCTCCCTCACTTTGTTAAAAGCCTTTCTCAGGGAGACCTTCTCAGAGCCCTATGTAAAACAGCATAGCCACTAACTTCCTCCAGACGTCTGCCACACCAGCACTATCTGTAACCCTTCCTCGATGATTTTTTTCCACACTACTGATCTCATCCAGCTTATTTATATTTACTTGTTTATTTACTGATGTCTCTCTTTACCATGATGTCAGGAACTAAGCCTATCTCATGTTCTACTAATACTTAGAACAATGTCTGACACTCAATATGCATTTGTTAAATGAGTTAACATACATGTCAGAACATGCAAAAAGGGTGGCAGCATTTATATTTTCTTTAAAAAATAATTTACCCCTTATAATAAAAGTAAATCATGCTCACTCAATGAAATTATTATTAAAATAAATGAGAAACATCCAAAATCTTATTATACACGTAGAACCACACGAGAGGTGATTTGGTAGCATTTCCTTCACAGCCTTTCACAGGTGTCTATTGTGCCCTGCTTTTTTCTTTTTATTCAGTTACAGGCAAGCTGTATATATAGTTTTGCATTTGCTTCCCTCCTCCCCTCCCCGCCCCCATTACAGATTATTCTATTATAGTTGTTGCCCATGTGCCTTTTAAAATCAGGATGGTGTATTGCCAATGCAACCTCAGAGCACGATTTAAAAATTCTTTATTTTCTCTGTTTTCTCTGCCATTCCTTCATGAACTTAAATTCTATTTTATCCCTGAACTGCATGGGAGAGATGACAGTTCTAGGAAAAAGACTGAGAAAGAAGGATTTCCTTCTTTTTCTTGTACCAGGAGCTTCTCCCTACAACACCCACCCCCTTCACAGGGCAACACTCATCCTTGGGCTGTTGTGATGTCATGCCTTCCTTGCATCCTTCCAAGATCCGAGAGGGTGTCCCTTGTGCACACTCCCCCTTCAACGAACGGCAGTGCAATTTGCTGCCTGCTTGCTTCTCTTCCCCTCTAGACTGTACGCTCCCTAGTAATTAGCTGATCATGTCTTATGCACCACTGTGTGCTCATGTCTCAATGATCATGTCTTATGCGCCACTGTGTGCTCAACGCTTATCACAGGGCCTGTGCTACGATGCACAGGTGCTTTCTATTGAATAAATGAATGAAAGGCCATGCAGGACCTCATATCTTAGCCTGTCCTTGCTTAAAGTGTTTCCCTCCTCTTCCACACATTAGTCTTGCCCTTTTGATCAGAAGCTCATTGACGATAAAGGGGAGAGTCTTGTCTCTCTGGTACCGAGGACACTGCCTGACTCAGATGGCAGTGTGGCAGTGTACCCAGAAACCCTAAGGAACACATCCTTCTCCCCCTCCTCATTATCATCATCAACATATTCTTTATTGCCCTGGACATACGAACAGGGGTAACAGTGTGGCCCCTCCCTGATAGAGATTATGAACTTAGTCTTAGAAAGAAACACATAACAACAATAAAAAAAGATAAATGACAAGCTAAGTGCCAAATTCATGATGCCAACCCCAGGGCCTCTAGGAAGAACAGATTCTGGGTTCGACTAGTTGGAAGCAGCTTCTTGAGACTCGACTGATGTTTAGACCTTAGACAAAGGGAAGAGGGCACGTGGGACCTGGGGAGGTGAGGCCCAGGGTCCAGGGCTGAGCTACATGCTGCTCTCAGGAGCTGGCTTTGTGACCAGCAGGTGCTAAGCGAGCAGCCCAGGCTCAGGTTACACCAGGAGAGGCTTGGGAACCCCATGGGGAGTGCTTCGGCTCAGGGTGGAGCAGCTGAAGGAACAGGAGGAGAGGTGGACTGAGGGGACAGGTGAGGCAGGTGGAACAGGAGGCCAGGGCCACTCTGACTGCCCAGATTCCCTTAACTGGTGGGAGTGCTCTGTCACTGTGCAAAATCTAAAGGAAGGATTGCAAGTCTCTCCTGGAGCCCTTGTGGAGGGCTCTGAGCCTCTGAGCCAAGGACCTGTCAGGTAAGACCTGGGCCGTGAAAACCATGACGAGGTACCAATTTTTCCCAAGAGGCTTGGGGCATGCGCAGTGAACAGTATAATCTGTGGGAGCAGGGGTTGGTCTTCTCAGCTTTCCGTCATCCATTCCACGCCTGCTGTCCTCAGGTGTGGTGCATGTGGCTGAGAGCATCCAGAAGCTCTTGCTATTTAAGTGCGCTTTCCAGTTTCAGGTCGCATGCACTTTAAGTCACAGTTGCTTTCTCAGGGAATCACCGAGTTCTCACTTGACCCTGACATTCTCTTCTCCTGGAGTCTTTCTCTTTTTTTTTTTTAAATTGATTTTATTTATTGTTTGCAGTACGCGGGCCTCTCACTGTTGTGGCCTTTCCTGTTGCGGAGCACAGGCTCCGGACGGGCAGGCTCAGCGGCCACGGCTCACGGGCGCAGCCGCTCTGCGGCATGTGGGATCTTTCCGGACCGGGGCACGATCCCGCGTCCCCTGCATCGGCAGGCGGACTCTCAACCACGGCGCCACCAGGGAAGCCCTCTTTTTTTTTAAAAATTCCACACGTTTGTTCGGTTCACTTTCAGTGAATAAGAAGATTGCAGCATCTAGCCTGGCTCGGTTTAGGAAGGTGATGTTCCTGAAGGCTCCTGGCCCAGGACCCTGGAACAAGCCTGCAATTCTGACATTTCTTCTACTTCCTTTTCCTTTTCCTCGCTCCTGCTCTCTGCTGCATTTGTGGAAACAGGATGGAGAGTGATCAAAGACCCTGCCTTGCTTCTTATCAGCAGGGTCGTGTGCTTGTTTATGTGACGCTTTTCTTCTCTCTTTCTTTCTTGGAAGTTCATCATTAAGACTCCTTAGTACTGGCTGGAAGAATTTGGGGTAAAGAAAAATTGTTGGAAGGTTGAGAGCTAGGCTCAGGTCTTGTTTATATGCTGTGAATCCGCTCTTGATGAATCCATCTGTTGACATATGTTTTGTTTGGGGGAGCGGTAAATTATGCTCAGACTGAAATAGTCTTTGCCAATAGTTAATTGAGCACAGGTTCACTGCAGGGATTACAATAATTTCACAAGCCTAGAGCATATAGGATAACGTCTCAATAAGCCAATAAAGAAATGACATACTCCTAACAAGTGATAAGATTAATTACACTATTGTTCCCAGGTAAAGGGAGGGGACAGAAACAAAGTCTGCATTCATAAGAGGTGGACATTTTTTAATGAGGTTGGTTTTCGGGAGAGTTGGCTTAACCGACCACAAGCTGGTGTCCAGCAGTGGTGAAACTCAAGTGAAAAGTCCCATGTTGTTAGAGCAGTTGCTAGAGAACGAGGGCACATGGGTGTTGGTGGCCAAGGTGAGCTTCTCAGGCTGCTGCATGGCTTTGGCCACTGCCAGTAAAAGGGTCACCTTCACCAAGGCAGGAGCTAAAGCACCAAGGTCTTTGGAGACTAGATCAGCAAAGGGTAGCTTTGCCAAGATGGAAACTCTCATGTAGTCCTCACAGACTCTGGGTATTTACAGCTTAAATGTCTCCTCCTCTCAGTTGCTTCATCTGTTTTTATTGATAAGCCTCCAGGGCAGCCCCTTAGCAGCTGAGCCTGAGTGCTTATTAAGAACAGATGAGATGGTGACAACCTGATACAGCTTACTTCACTCTTAAAGCAAAACAACTTTACTCCTAAAATCAACTCCTTTTTTTTTTGTCTTTGCCATAAACAAGGGGATTGAAACCACTTCACTTAAGTCATAAACAACTGGATTGAAATCGTTATCAAAACAATACACGAGAAAGTTGTTATGGATATTTCACCAGCCCTTGAAATTGCCATTAACTAGCTCTGTGTTTTTGGATGTTACTTAACCTCTCTGTGCCTTAGCTTCCTCATCCTGCCTGGGTTGCAGAGGAACACGTGAAGATTTCCTTTGTCCTGTTACTTCTCTGAGTTTCTTCAAACTCGGTAACTTCTTTTCATTCTCTTATCTTGCCCCTGAGATCTGGCTTATCACTGATTTTCCCTTTTACCTTCTTCCTTTCCTTCTAATAGATTTTATTGAATTCCAATCTTCCTCTCATCTTCCCCTTCCCCATCCCTCAATTTATTTCCTCACTGGAGGAAAACTAATTTTAAAGCCAAAACATAAAGAGCTAGTTGGATTTTGCTAACACTCATGTTTCCAGAGGATACTTTGCAGCTACAGAATATATTTCATGTTTTTCCATATCTGTGGGTTTTTTCTTTCTGAGTTCCCTTGTTCTTTTAGCTTTATTTATTTTGATTATTTCAAGTAAGACGCAGTCATAATGATTTCAATTGATCTCTGATGCTTTATACTAGCCTTTCTTACAAATCCTCCCATTAATTTACTAAACTGGTTATCTCTGCTCAATTCCCAGTAGGTGTTGATACTTCATATTGCATACATTTTTATTTGAAAGTGACAACTGCATTTAATGATTCTAATAACTTTCCCCTTTTGCCTTTTGTAAAGAATGGAATGTTGCTGGCCATTCCAGTTCTATAAGGATCAGTCCATCAGCCAGTCCTGCAGTCGCTCAGGATAACGCACCCTGAGGGGAATTCAGGGTGGAAAAAAACAGGAAGCATTCTCTTCTTTGGATATACTGGCCTGTGATAGTTAGGACGCATCTCTACGGAAAAATTTCAATGACCCCAAGATTCTTGCATCTTCTCATACATAGAAAAGCACTAATATCATTAACTTGAGATGTCTGTTCTTTGTCATCAGCAGTACTCTTTCGATGCTCAATTACAAGTTTGTTTGTTTGTTTTCCCCAGCGAAAAATTCATATATATCCTGGCTCCTTCCTTTCCTCTTCGGAGCAGTTCCTCAGAGCTATCTGAGAGGCTGTCTTCTGGGCTATAGTCCTCAGGAAGATCCCCGAATAAAACTCAACTTGCAACTTTTAGGTTGTATGTTTTTCTTTCAGTCAACACTTTTTGTTATCCTTGACTTGCTTTGAAATCTTTGATTTGGTCCCTTATATCCAATGACTCCCACTCATTCAGCCCCTGGTGACTGGCCCAATGAATTTTAGTGGATCGTCTATCAATTCTCTTTCTACCATAAGGAGACTGGAAAGTGGGGAAATGGCCCGGGCCTGGGTTTTGCCTTGCCTTAGCACAGCTGACATCTGGGTACTTCCCTGCTTTGTTTCCCAATACGTTTTTTCGCCACCGGAGACCCACCGTGAGGAGGGCGACCTTGGCGGTCTTATGCCTGCTTCTGCTCCAAGGGAGTCTAGTGCCAACCCCAAGTAACTCAGCTCCTCTGGGCCCTGCAAACGCTGCCTTCTCACTCACTGTTCCCTCTGCTGCTAGTCAGCTTACTACCAACTTTAAACATTTCAGTAACACTTGGTATTTATTTCCAAAGTATTTGAATCGAGTTTACAGGAAATCCCAGGCACAGCCCAGTTTCCTGGTTGCTAGCTTTCTCACTGGCCATAAGGAAATCTCCATGAATCCCACCTCACCTGGGTCTGGCTCAAATTTTGATTTGTTTCCTACCCCGTTAATTATTTCGTTACTATAAGAAATGTTTTTTGAGCATCTGTAATGTATTAGACACAGACTCATTAAACAAAGCCTGCTAGGACCACGCTGGGTGAGTTACAAAGAAAAAGTCTTGGAAGAAGAGAGTGGGGTAAAAAACATTACCGTTGAATCTGTCATCAAAGCTGCAGTAGGGGAAGCTGTGAGGATTTTTTTGCCTTCCAAACTAAGGCTGTTTGGAGCCCTGAAAAATAATAATAATGAAAAGTAACATTTGCATCTTTTTTTCTAGAGATCAGCATAACAGTTAAGGGGGACAGTACCATGAGGCTTCTTGTCCTCCGCGGAAATGAGTTTAGGGTCATAGTTAGTAAGTGGTAAAATCAGGGCTGGAATCCAAGTCCTAAATTCACTCTGGTTGTTGGTGAGTTCCTGACTCTTGCGTGTGAAAGTCTCTGGCTTTTGGCCTTGGACGGTGAAGGAGAGCTTAGAGCCGGAGCCGGCTGTGATGTAGGTAAAGCTGTTGTGGGAATTTTACTAACGAGCCTCGCCCATCCTTCTTGAGTTTCCTCGGACATCTCACTTGCATCCCTCCTCTGCCACTCTTTTTTTTTTTTTTTTTTGTGGTATGCAGGCCTCTCACTGTTGTGGCCTCTCCCGTTGCGGAGCACAGGCTCTGGACGCGCAGGCTCAGCGGCCATAGCTCACGGGCCCAGCCTCCCTGTGGCATGTGGGATCTTCCCGGACCGGGGCACAAACCTGTGTCCCCTGCATCGGCAGGCGGACTCCCAACCACTGCGCCACGAGGGAAGCCCCTCTGCCACTCTTAATTATTTTTAATGAATGGTAGTTCGTCTAAATGAGATGGCAAGGTGAGAGTATCTGGAAACAGAACAAAGTTAAATGTTCTTTTCCAGTACTAGGCATGAGCACTTCCACAGTGTTCTTTTTAATATCAACAATAATAAGGACAAATTTGGACAATGGCAATCAGGTTGGTCAGTGGATAGAGCAGGACCATAAGAATGGTTTTATGGGAGTGATTCAGAGTGTGTTTGTGCTAAGTGAAGTCCAAACCTCTCAGTTATTTCCAATTTTTTTTTTCTGAGGAAATTCTCATTCCTGACAAGGGAAATTGGACTGGACAAGTAGCAGGGAAAAGGCATCAGTTCCTTAACTGAGAAGAATTAAGTCTCTCTGTCACACAAGCAATGCAGCAAAGGCTGTACTGTCCTGTATGGTAGCTGCGAGCAGTAGATAACTATATAAATTAAAATAATTAAAATTAAATAAAATTAAAAATGCAAGCACTCAATAGCCACCTGTGACTAATGGCTAAGGTATTGGACAGCGCAGAGAGCATTTCCAGATGGTGGAGAGCCACGGACATGCCCTCTGCTCCTGTCTCAGAGTGAGGGAAGTGGGAGCGAGACTTACCGTAGACTTTGCTGAAACGTTCGGTCTCTTGCTTGTATTTGCTCAACTGCCTTTTATTTAATGTCTTCTGCATGAAACAATGCCCACAGATTGAGACACACCAGTGGAGAATCCAGTGACGTTTGGGAACAGGATTTCAGTTAGGAATTCATTGAAGAGTCATTTGAACCATTTAGCGAAGAATCCAGGAAAGAACCCACTGAGAAATCCAAAGAGAAGCAGTCAGAACAGCCTCAAGTTAACTCCAGTGAGGAATACAGTTGGAAAGGCAATCCTGATAGAGTATAACTGGGAGTACAACCAATAGCCTGCTTGGGAATCCAATGGATGAGGAGGTGGAAAAAATAACAGTAGAAAAACTTACAAGTAAATTCGTCTTTTGAATACTGTTTTAGGAGTCTAGGGCTCTTCCTCTACTTCCAGTAAGATTTTAAGATGTCCTTTATGGGCCTTAGTAGGATTACAGCAGCAGCATTGTGCCCTTGGGGCTCTGGCCTTGGTGATACTCTGCTCTTTAGGAGAGTATCAGAGGACAGGTGGAAATTTGACCTTTATCCTGCTACCTCTTGTAGTCCCAGGATGCGGGGAAGGGCTCCTCTGCCAGCACTATGGAAACCAAGGCCCTGTACTTCATGGGGCAGGTGGGGGTGACTGGGATCTGTTAAAGCGAAGATGTGATCAGCACGCTCCAGAATCTGATTTCACTCTCTTGGACCATCTAGTCATAGGGGACCCCAGTGTCACAGTGGACAAATGGGGTCTTATGATCACACCAACATTAATCTCATGAATATTCTGTCCCAGAGAGTTTCTCCCTGTTCTTTCTGAAGCTTTGAAAACCTACTCTGTTCCAGGCCTATGGCTAGGCTCTGGGGAACAGAAAGAGGATTTAGACAGACCTTCTTCTCTAGGTTCTTATAGTCTAACATTCTGTAACTCTATTCCACTTGCGTCTGTAGCAGAGTTATTTCTGGAGTGCCATGACTGGTTTCCCCTCTAATGAGACTCTCTCTAGTAATGGGTCTAACTGCTCTGGCTCCCTTGAAGTGAAACAACTGTATCTTGTTACATGTGTTATTCCAGGCACATTTGACCTTGGGATGGAATCAGCCCGTTCTGTATTTCGACAAGTAAGTTTGCTTATTTATTTAAATAGACTTCATTAAAAAAAATTCTTTTTAATTTCTATTGAATGAAAGATTCTTTAAATGCTATAGTGCTTTACAATTTTCAAAAGTTTCACACACATGATTTCATATAAGGCCATAATAACCCTTTTTTCCCCCTTACCCCTGTGTTGCCTCTTCCCACACCCTCTCCCCACTGGTAACCACTAGTTTGTCCTCTACATCTGCGAGTCTGCATCTTTTTTGTTATATGCACTAGTTTGTTGTGTTTTTTTAGATTCCCCCTATGAGTGATATCATACAGTATTAGTCTTTCTCTGTAAATAGACTTTATTGTTTAAAGCAGTTTTAGGTTCACAGCAATACTGAGCAAAAGGTACAGAATTTCCCATAACCCCCTACTCCTGCATATGCATAGCCTGACCTGTGATCAACACCTCCTACCAGAGCAGTACATTTGTTATAATTGATGAACCTACATTGACACACCATCATCCAAAGTCCACAGCCTATATTAGGGTTCACTGTTGGTGTAGTACATTCTATGGATATGGACAAATTTATAATGACACGTCTACCATTACAGTGTCATAGAGAGTGGTTTCCTTGCCTTAAAACCCCTCTGGGCTCTGCCTGTGCCTCTCTCCCTTCCCTCTAACCCATGGGTAAGTTTATTTATTTATTTTTTTGGTCTGTGATAACTCTTGAATATCAGACTTTCTAATTATTTTTTTTTTGCGGTACGCGGGCCTCTCACTGCTGTGGCCTCTCCCATTGCGGAGCACAGGCTCCGGACGCGCAGGCTCAGCGGCCATGGCTCACGGGCCCAGCCCCTCCGCGTCATGTGGGATCTTCCCGGACCGGGGCACGAACCCGTGTCCCCTGCATCGGCAGGCGGACTCTCAACCACTGTACCACCAGGGAAGCCCAGACTTTCTAATTTTTAAAAAATACTCCCTCCCACTTCCTCTTCACATAAAGGACAATGGGAAATCAGCCACTAGAAATGAGGAGGGAGAATTATATACTCTTTGACCCTATTACTGAAGTTACCATGTTTTATTTTTCTGTAGCTTGTTTGTCTGAAACTCTCCATCCAAATACAGATTCCAAATAGCTAGTTGTGCCTTTCTTCGAGGTGATGGTGGATATCTATCTAATACCAAATTTCTTAGATGCCCATTGCCTCTGAATCCATTTTCTCTGAATCCAGTTTCTACTATGCATTTAGATGTGGAAAACAAGAATTTACTTTTAATGCCTTGGCACCTCAAAGGGGGCAGAAGAGCTCTCCCCACAGAATTAGATAATGTCCTGTGGGAGAAAGAACACTGGATTTAGAGTCAGATTTTAGTCCCAACTTTTCTATGTGCGCTTGGTAGATGATGATGATTGTAGTACTGGCTACAGTATTTTTTTAGTACTTATTTACTAAGTATAGGCACTATCCTAATTCTCACACAACCCCATGAGATAGGTATTGTTATTCCCATATTACATATGGGAAAACTGAGGTATAGATATGTTAAGGAATTTGCCAAGAGGCGGTGTTGCAACTGGAAGCCAGACAATCTTATCTAATCTTTCTGAACCTCCACTTTCTCCTCACTAAAATGAAGGTATTGGGCCATAAATCGCTGAGTTTCTTTCTGTTCTAAAACCCTCCGGGTCAGTGAAGTTTCACAGATGGGCAGCCCACTACAACTGCAGGATGGTTTGGTTTCAAGTAGTAATTATAAAAATTAAGGTTGGATGGCCTGGATAGTTGCCTTTATCAGGACTGCAAGAACTTTCCTTTTCACTCCCTGTTATTTAGGTTTTGGTTGCTGTTTTTTAGGGCATGAAGTTGGCATCAATTGAGACAAAGGAGCCAAGATCTCTTCCTTAAAAGGAAGCATGGATCGACCCATTTTTCTTACCTCTGAAGAACCAGTGTCAAGTCCTGAAGATATTCAATAAAACTGGAATAACACCCAGCACAAGGCTGTTGTGATACTCAAGTAAGATAATGCGTGGGAACTGTTCTGTAACTTGTCAAATTCTGTATAAACGCAGGAGCTATTGGTATTGCCATATAATACTGATTCACAGATCAGAAACTGGGTAGTTTTCCCATCTGATTTCTATGCATGGTGCATTTAGGAAGCTTGAACACACATCCTGCCTGCTCAGATTAGTATCCATGCTGATTAAAGGGTAAGATACTCCAGCCTTACTTTTGCTTTTCTAGGGTTAAGACAAAACAACCTCTGTAAACAGACCCCCAGGATGTTTAGTCACTAGCCAGAGTCCCAGGGGCACAAGGCTGCTCCATTTTCCAGTAAATTTCCCTCATTAGTTACAAACAGCAAGCGCAGGCAGGGCAAAATTCCTGCAGATTTCATCTAAAATGCAGCCTGAGTCCGGATGTCAGAATTCTGCTTGATCCCAGGCTCCTCATCCCTACCCAGATCACCCGCCTGTATTTCCTCGCATGGAAAAGCAGGATACAGTTCCGAATTTCCTGCACTCTTTTTTTTTCTGGCTTCCTGGATCTTTGGCCTTGTGTTACACACACCTTTTCTTATTTTGGGCACCCACTGACGGATCACACAGAATGGCTGTCATAGGATGGCCCACTGAATTGAGAACAGAGAATGTAAAAAAAGTTGGTTTGCAAAGGTCAGTTTCTTCATCTATTCGCTTATTCATTCAATGAGGATTTTATTGATATTGAGTAATGCCCACACGAGGCCATCCGGATGAGGCACCTTAATCATAAGTCACAGGGGTCTGGAAGGCAAAATACCTGTCTGGCTCTCCTTCCAGAATCTTCCCCATGATTAAGATTCCATGGATTCTTGCTGTAGTTCTCAGAAGATATTTTTATTGGTTGAACCGTCGAATCTGTTCTGGTGCTCCAAGCAAGAGAACACGCAGGCTTACGTGCTCTTGGTAACGCTTCCAGCTACGGACAGAGGATGAAGATGAACAAGGTGTTCGCTCTGATGGGAAGGGCTGCTTTTCATGGAAGCAAAGACTGGAATAAGTTGAGAAAGTACTGCTCTTAGTTACTTGGAAATGAGTTAGAATCTTCCTTGTCTTTCACTATTTCCCACCTTAGGTATAAAATAAATTAGGAAAATGTGCTTGTATTTATTTCCCCGTAACTGATGGTGAAATAAATGCCAATCATGAGATATTTTGGGTTTCAAACAGAAAGAGTGAGGAATTGGATACTTCCTGGTGTTTCAAGAGAAACCTTATTTTGGACGAGATGGCTTACGTTCTTCAGAGGCTACTGTCCACTAAGTCTGTTATGATTAGATGAATTCTAGATGTCTTGGTTCTACCTCTTGGCATTGCACTGAAGAGCTGTGACCTTGAACAAGCCACTTACCATCTTGGATTGCTACCTCCTTGGTTAGCACTCAATATTTATTTATGGAGGCGACAATACGCTGGGTGTTCACTTGTAGAAAGATATTAATATGCATTCTGCCAATCTCTCAGAACTGGTATCAGAGTAAATTTGGATTTGAAAGCCCTTTGAAACATTTATAAACCTCACGCATCTCAGAACAAAAGGCTATACATCAAAGAAGGAAATCCTTGCCTCATTTAAGACTACACTTATAATAAGAAAGCCTTTCACTAAATTAATAGCAAAGTGAAGCAAGATGAAATTGGAGATTTTTGTCGTAGCCTGATTTGGTACAAAGAAATGGAAACACAAGGAACCAAACCTGTGTGTTCATGACTCACTTAAAGCAAAATTTCTTTCACTTCCTAGAGTCCTGCCAACATCTAAAATGTCTCCTTAGACATCTTTCCCCTCCTTCCCTTGCATCTCTATGAAGCAGCTAATAGGAGCTATGCAATGTGCTGGGACACAGATGAGTTTGGGATACTTGGAGTACTCTGACAGGATATCCCACCTCCCACTACACTATCAAGGCTTTAAACAGGACAGAGGTTTATTTCTCTGACCTGGTAAGATGGCTGTGTTCTGCAACTTTGAGAAGAATGCAGGATCCTTCCTTTATATCTTCTCTGCCATCCCTACTATGTTGCCCTCATCCAGATGGTTCAGGATGAACCAGCACTACATCCCCATCCCATACAGCAGAAAGGAGAAAAGTAGAAGTGAAGGATATGCCTTTCCCTTTAAGAACAAAACCTAGAGGTTTAAAATACTACTTCTGCTTACATTCTCCAGGAAGTGCAGTCTTCATGTTGGGCTGTCATATGCCCGGTTAAGCATCAGGGATTTTATTACTCTGCAAGAGAAGGGAAGAATGCCTATCAGGGGTAAGAAGCAATCTCTGTCTGGGGTGCAAACATGAACAGTTCTTGGTCCTTTCCTAAAAGCTGCTTACTTTAATGGGAGAAAACCAAAGTAAAAATAGGTAATTACACATATTTTTTGCAACTCCGTGCCATCATTTACCCCAACACTTTTACAGTCTAACACTTTCATTCTCTTAACTTTCTTTTGTCTCCTTTCCCTCTGCCTATGCTCGTCAACTGTTAAAAAACAAAATTCAACTGAGTGAATTTCAAAGATCTTATTGGCTTTATTCAACGATTCATGAATCAGGCAGCATCCAATCTAGCAGATAGAAAAAAGCTCTGAGGACCCGTACAAAATGAAAGGCTTTTTATAGGCAGAAGGAAGCAGGAACAAAAGAGTTATACTGGGCAAAAAAGCAGGTTGGTCATGGCAAGGTTGCTTTCCTTCAGGAGACAGCAAGGGACTTAAAGGCGCATTTCTTAACTAGTGGTGATCAGGAGAATCCTGACTGACTGGTTTAAGATTCCATTTCTAGGAAAGCTGAAGCTAGTTTTCAGTCTGGTGACGTGGGGATTAGCATAAATGACTTCTTTTGGGGCCTGTTGGTTTGTTTTTTAACACCCTTTACCAAAACCCCAAAATAACTGCTCCCCCCAAAAAAAGGCCCCACCTCACTTTCTCTTGATCTTTTTGCTCCTCTGCTTACTTCCTTAATTTTTATTCTTTTTTTTAAATTGTAAGGCAATTTTATTTATAATAACTTTTTTTCTAACACCTTTATTCTTGACCTGTCTTGGCTGTATCTGATGCTGTTTACTATCTCCTTGAAATACTCTCCTTCCTTGTCTTCTGTGTCCGTGTAACACTCTGGTTTTCTGCTTCTTTGTCTCCTTTGCTGGCTTTTCCTCCACTGTCCTAAATAAAAGAACTTCCTAGACCAAGCTCCTTCCTAGTCCTTTCTTTCCCCATCTGTTTTGGAATCGTATCTACTGTTTGGTCACAGTCATCACTTCAGAGCAAATGAATAACACATCTCTATGCATAAAGCAAAATCACCACCATAAACCAAAATCTCATGGATGTCAGCCTCATGTTTTCTGCTGCTTATGGGATATTTCCATCAAGATTCTCTTAAAGCAAGACAATTTCCACTAGCCAAACTCATCTTGCCCCCACCTGAAAATCCTCTCTTCACCAACCTCCTCTCCTCCTAACACCATTCAGAAACTGGGTCCTAGTTTGACCCCCTGTGTATGTCACTGGAATAATTCACCCTTTACAACTTGGAAGTCGTCTTTTCCCCTCCCTGGACCCTCACTTCTCACGTCGTCCATGTAAACATAACTTGCTGATCATATAGTATTCTTGCTACTCAATGTCTTGCCTGTGCTATTGTGATGCCCCTCTCTTCATCTTTCCTTTACATTGTTTTTCACTGCCTGTCTTCATATAATATGAGTTGCATCAGCTTAATCTACTAAAAAGCCTTCAGTAACAGTCTGTTATCTATCAGTGAGTCAGATCTCTTTGGTCTACTATTCCAAGGTAGGCATTCCATTCCATGGTCTCAAATTCCTATGTTTTCTGCAACATCCCTTTAAGACAAATTAGACTAATTGCTGCTACCTGAATGGGTCCTCTACTCTCCTATCTCTGCCGCTATGTGTATTTACCTGGATTATTACTTCTTCCTGATAATCCTTCCTGTTTCACCCATCATTTCCCCTGATGAGATCTTATCCATCTTTTAAGATCCAGTTAAAATGTAACATCCTTCATGAAGGCTTTCTGAACTATTAGCCACGAATACCTTCAGAATCAGGGACGGTCTTTATGTCACTAGTGTCTAGCATAGTTCTGGACTCATTAAGTTGCTCAACAGCTGTTGACTTAATGAGTCATCATTAGCTGAGTGTAATCTCTGTCTCCTCCGGATCACCAGAATACCCTGTACTTCTCTTAGGGCTCTTGTCATATTACATCTTTTACTTCATTTATTTGTATCCATAGCTTTGAGCCCTTGGGATAGTAAAGAATTTTGCAAAGAACAGATGATTCATCAGTATTAATTAAATGAATGAACTCTAGGAGGCATTAAAGTAGGGAGGGTGCTGGGTTGTTAATCAGAAAATTTGCTCAAATGGTTAAAACTGGAGCTAAGGAGAAAAGGGAACCCTCCCACACTGTTGGTGGGAATGTAAATTGATGTAGCCACTATGGAAAACAGCATGGAGGTTTCTCAAAAAACTGAAAATAGAACTACCATAAGATACAGCAATTCCACTGCTGGGTATATATCCGAAAGAAACAAAAACACTGATTCGAAAAGATACATGTGCTCCAATGTTCATAGCAGCATTATTTACAATTGCCAAGATATAGAAGCAACAGATAAATGGATAAAGAAGTCGTGGTATATGTATATAAAGTGGAATACTACTCAGCCATAAAAAAGAATGAAATTTTGCCATTTGCAGTAACACAGATGGACTTGGAGGGCATTATGCTAAGTGAAATAAGTCAGACAGAGAAAGACATACTGTATGATGTCACTCAGATGTGGCATCTAAAAAATACAATAAACTAGTGAATATAACAGAAAAGAAGTAGACTCGAAGATGTAGAGAACAAACTAGTGGTTACCAGTGGAGAGAGGGAAGAGGAGAGGGACAATACAGGGGTAGAGGGAGGGAAAAAGGGTTATTATGGGATTATATGAAATCATGTGTGTGAAACTTTCGAAAATTGTAAAGCACTATAGAATTTAAAGGATCTTTCACTCTATTAAAAAAAAAAACAACTAAGCAGTGCCTGGAATAAAGTAAGAATCAAATACATCTTAAATGTGTGAATCCAAGAATAAAATTTAGAATATCTCATAAAGTGAATGGACTATAATCCTCCTTGAGTATTGAGCAGTAAGAATAATGCATAAATTTTTTTTTTCAAGAAATACACAGAAGAAAATGTTAATCATGGGTTCAGGGTTAGGAAGCAGAGGTACTTTTCCTTTTCAATTTTATACTTTTAAGCATTGTTTGAATTTTTTATCATGTACTGTGTTCATTTTTATTTGAATATTTTATTTTTATTTTTTCTTCTAATTTTATTGAGATATAATTGACATATAGCACTGTATAAGTTTAAGGTGTACAGCACAATGATCTGACTTCACTTATGATTACCACAATAAGTTTAGTGGACATCCATCATCTTATACAGATACAAAATTAAAGAAACTAGAAAGGAGATATTTTTTCCTCATGATGAGAATTCTTAGGATTTACTCCCTATACAATTTTCGTATATAACATACAGCAGTGTTAATTATATTTATCATGTACATTACATCCCTCATAGTTATCTTTTTTTTTTTTTTTTTTACAGTAGGTCCTTGTTGGTTATCTATTTTAAATATAGCAGTGTGTACATGTCAATCCCAAACTACCAATCTATCCCTCTCCTCCCTCCCCCCCGGTAACCATAAGTTCATTGAATAAATATGTTAATTACAAAAATAAAAAACTTTAAAAGGACTTAAAAAAAACAGGTGCTGAGAATTAATTTTTTTGAGATTATATTCTATAACCTTTCCACCCCCCACTAGGCTGTGTGATTCTTGGAGACAAGGTCCTTTAAACTCTGTGCACCCAGGACATTTTCTGGCACTTAATA